GTTCCAATATCGCGATACAAAGAGCGAATAGGGCACACACCGCTTTACCCGATCAACCTGCATTTGAACGGTGTTCGGGTCTGTTTGCATTGGAAGCGAGAACAAAACAGAAACGCCCCAGCAAGTACACTTAAAGTGGAATACATGCATTCGGAGCTTGCTGGAAATTTTTGAGAAAAAAAAATCGGTTAAAACCTTGGCTCTGTAAAGATGCCACAGGTTAATTGGGACACACATACGCAACGGCAGAGGGGGGGGGGCCAACGGGGGCCATTTGCCCCCCCCCCCAAAAAAAAAAAACCTCCATGTCTTTATTTTTTGAGGAAGCCAACACGTACATCATTAAAATTGCGTTACCGTGCACCAATGCCATGAAGAGCCATCCCTCTTCCTTTTCATATCAAATTTGGGGCGTGATATTTTGGACACAAAAAGTTTGACCCACCCTATAATAAAACACGGATCACCCTTAAAAAAAACCCACTATGTTCTGGATTTAGCCTTGTACATACGTGGGCGCGAGACCAGTACCGGACTGAATGGTCGCGCCTCTTGAAACGAATTATTGATTGCAAGTAGGGAAACAAAAGAGGAATAGTTTGTGAGAGGTGCGCTTCCTCCATCGAGAGTAAAGCTGAGTACTACAATTCGGCATAACATCAATGCGTTAACAATTACGTAACAGAGTGCGCTGTCAATGGTGTAACGCCCGATATTGAAAGAGAAAGTGCGGCGTGTTGGAATTCCTTGGTACCTTGGAATTCTATTACCGAGTACATTGTTCGATGAAGATTATTTGTGGCGATACTCTAAGTCAATAGACCTAAGATGTAATGACGTAACGATTTTTTAAAAGTGCGCTTTCCTATGAGTGCTGGCTCTTATAGGAAAGCGCACGTGTAAACAAAGCGTGACGTCATTACGTCTCAGGACCATTGAGGGCACTATTTAAGTTTAACGGTCAAGCCTACGCAGGTTTGGTTTGGGGGTTAAACGAACGAAAAATAGTTCCCGCATAATTATCGTTTCGGCGACGTAGCTGCTGTTAATTACGTGTGTTCATAACACCATTATAAATACAGGTTGTGTGATTTCTTTTAGTTGATTAAGGGCGCTGATCGAGTTTAACGGTCAAGCCTACGCGCAGTTTGTTTTGGGACGTATACGTACGAAAAGAAGTCGCGCATAATTTGCCGTTTTGATAACGTACTTCGCACAAACAGCTCGTGTTAAAATACGTAAGTTTCATATAAGACAATTAAAAACTTAGAACCCCCATAACTTAATGGTAATAAATGGGGATAGTGTAATATAATTATTAGAATCAAGCATTAAAGGCTCTGTGATATTTGAAGTTATTGGAAATTAATATCGATTTACGCGAAATATACGGTACAACAACCAGTGGAATCCGAGAGAGGACGCCTCTCATTAGGTGTCTATAATGAGTGCAGACCTGCAAATCGACTTCCGTAGACCTCCGTAGATAATTACGAGTATGTCCGTAAATTATTTTAAAAACTTACTCACAACTCTCAGAGGTGTTTGAGACACCATCCAAATCAAAGCTTATTTTATTATCTTTTATTTTCTGTTCAATTTTTGTTCAATTATCCAATGACTGAATGGGAGAAACTTCCATTAAAAGGATGTCAGCCCGAAAAGTAGTCCATTGGCCCATCGCCATTTTGAAATATGATGCCTGCGCTCTATTGCAAAGAGCAATATTAGGGCCCAATTTCATGCAAATTGCAAACTCCTGTGTCGGCTTCCAACCCTCTTCATATCAAGTTCAAGGCCCACAACGGTGATCTAATAGCAAAGAATTTTATGCATACAAATTGTGAAATTGGCCCGCATATTATACCTTTAAAGTGTGTCGTGCATGCCACTAAACCAAACTCATGATAAAATTGTATGATGTACATGTATACATGTATACGTGTGCATGTTCAACAGACGGGTGAACACAGTCGAGGAATCCATAAGAAAACACAGCTTGTATTATAGGCTCGGGCCCTGTATTTATAACGATAATGTTCAGAAACCTAGTGGCGATCAAGCAAATGGCCTAGTGGTTAGGCTCATTGTCCACAGACCCCGGGGTCCGGGGTTCGAGTCCTGTTGGTGTAATTTTTGGTTTTCAATACACGCGCTCTGTCATTTACTTTAAGAGTCTTAATTTCGCGTCGTCAAACACCAACCGACCTTAGCTCAATCAGTTAAGTCACCGGCTGGGACTGTCTGCGAAGTCCAGGTTATGCATCTACTCATAGGTACGGGGCTCTTTTGCTGTCTCGGCAGCAAGGCATAGGGTGTCGCCTCGTTTCCTCCCTTAACGGTGCTTGGCCCTCCGGGGTTACATGGATGGATAGGGAAGGAGGTGTGGTGGGCCGGGGAATCCGAGACCCAGGAAGAGCCCTATATGGGAGTCGGTAACCAATCGCGACCCCTGAATGCTTGGTCAACACCACATAACTTTTTGTTTTTCTTTATCCCCTTATTTTTTTCCTATAGTCGAGAATTTATAGGGTTAAAAACGGTCCAATAACAAAATCTTTAAGCATACTGATTGATTATTGGCCCGCATATTATACGTTTTATGTGTGTCATGGATACAACTAAACCAAACTCATGATAAAATCATGATAAAAATGAGCCCAGAATTAAAAACATGTGCAAATTAAACTCCTTTTTCAGAGAGTTGCAGACGCCCTAAACTGTAATAAAAGTACATTTTCTCTTTCAAACAAAAGATGCAAATCAAAAACTAGTAAGCCTGGAAGAAAAAGGTATGTAAACAGCACGGGGTGACATCTTAACGAAAAGGTTTTCAAAGTGTCTGTCCAAAGAAATTTCGAAAGCCGCGTCGGCGGGCGGCGGGCGGTTGGCGGCGGGCGGCGGGCGGCGGGCGCTGGGCCGGTTCACCGTACGGCGCGTCGTCCCCAATCCCTGGTTTGTTGTAAGACTGCACGGAGAGGTTTCGGTTTCGCGCGAGAGACTCGAAGCGGTGTTTCCGAAGGATCAAACCCGAATGCATGAACAATGCACGCTGCGACAAGTATAACGTCCAATGTGTTCGAATTCCTTGGTACTGTAGTGATTTGAAATAATTCTATTACCGAGTGCATTGTTTAACGGTCAGACCTACGCAGGTTTGGTTTGTGGGTTAAACGTACAAAAAGTAGTTCGCCCATAATTTGCCTCGGCGCCGAAAACCTCCTGTTTATTAAGTGTGTTCATATTAGGATGATTATAGACAAAGTTGGTTCGTTGCAGTCGTGATTCAAAAGAATTGTATTTGATTACATAATTTATACAGTGTGCAATGACGATCAGTAGTTGTGTGATTACTTTAAGTTGATTGAGGGCGCTATTCACGTTTAATGGTCAAGCCTACGCGCACTTTGTTTGGGGAGTTAAAGGTACGAAAAGTAGTCCTCGCGTAATTTGCTGTTTTGGTATCGCAGTTCGCCAAAGCGATACAAATAAATAAGCTCTTGTTGAAAGCACGTGTATCATATTTACGATTAAAAATAGGAACCGCTGCATTTCTTTGATTCTCATTTCAAACCCACCCTAATTTTAGGTTCCCAACCAGAAAACAACCTCGAACCTCTAGAACACTATTCACCGTAATGTAACAAATGGGGAAATAGATTCAAGAAATCAGGCTCTGTGATATTTGAAGTGATTGAAAATTAATAACCATTTACGCGAAGTATACGGTACAACAACCAGTGGAATCCCAGAGAGGACGCCTCTCATTAGGTGTCTATATGGGTGCAGACCTGCAAATCGACTCCCATAGACCTCAGTGATAATAACGCGTTTTTCCCAAAATTATTTTTTAAAAATCATCTCAACTCTCAAAAGGTGTATGACCCACCCACTAAATCAAAGCTTATTCATAATTTTTTATTTTCTGTTCAATTTTTGTTCCATTATCCGATGACTTATGGGAGGAAATTACATCAAATGATGTCAGCCCGACTTGAAAAGGTGTCCCGTAGCCCATCGCCATTTTGAAAAATGATGCTTGCGCTCCATTGCAAAATAGAGCAATTTTAGGGCCCAATTTCATGCAATTTACACAGAAATACGAGCTCACACTCTGTATACGGCTTCCACCCCTTTTTTTTGGAAACATCAAGTTCAAGGCACACATTGGTGCTCTAATAGCAAAGAATTTAAGCATAATTTGGCCCGCATATTATACATTTATTGTGTGTCATGGGTGCCACTAAACCAAATTCATGATAAAATCATGATAAAAATGTGCCCAGAATTTAAAACATGTGCAAAATGAAACCCCTTTTTTAGAGGGTTGCAGACGCCCTAAATTGGAATAAAAGTACTTTTCACTTTAAAATAAAAGATGCAAATCAAAAACTAGAAGAAAAAGGTACGTAAACAGCACGGGGTGTCATCTTTACGAAAATGTCTTCAAATTGTCTGTCTAAAGAAATTTCGAAAGCCGCACCGGCGGGCGGCGGGCGGCGGGTGGCAGGCGGCGGGCGGCGGGCGGCGGGCGGCGGGCGGAGGGCGGCGGGCGGCGGGCGGCGGGCGGCGGGCGGCGGGCGGCGGGCGGCGGAACGGTTCACCGTACGGCGCGCCGTCCCCAATCCCTGGTTTGTTGTAAGACTGCACGGAGAGGTTTCGGTTTCGCGCGAGCGACTCGAAGCGTTAATTGTTTCCAAAGGATAAAACCCAAATGCATGAACAATGTGCGCTGTAAAAAGTGTAACGTCCAATGTGTTCGAATTATTTGGTACTGTAGTGATTTGAAATAATTCTATTACAAAGTGCATTGTTCAATGAATATTATTTTGTAGTGATCCTCTCGATTGAGGGCACTATTTAAGTTTAACGGTCAGACCTACGCAGGGTTTTTTTTTTGGGGGGGGGGTTAAACGTACAAAAAGTAGTTCGCCCATAATTCGCCTCAGCGGCGTAGTTTGCCGAAAGAGCTCCTGTTTATTACGTGTGTTCATATTAGGATGATTATAGACAAAGAGGGTTCGTTGCTGTCGTGATTCGAAAGAATTGTATTTGATTACATAATTTGTACAGTGTGCAATGACGCTCAGTAGTTGTGTGATTACTTTAAGTTGATTGAGGGCGCTATTCAAGTTTAATGGTCAAGCCTACGCGTACTTTGTTTCGGGAGTTAAAGGTACGAAAAGTAGTTCTCGCGTAATTTGCTGTTTTGGTATCGCAGTTCGCCAAAGCGTTACAGCTCTTGTTGAAAGCACGTGCAATGATTACAGAGAGGAACTGCTGCATTTCTAAGAGCATTTAGGCTCCCGACAAGACAAACACCCCTAGATCAAATGCGGATAATAATAGATTCAGGAAATCAGGCTCTGTGATATAAGCGGCGGGCCGGCGGGCCGGCGGGCCGGCGGGCCGGCGGGCCGGCGGGCCGGCGGGCCGGCGGGCCGGCGGGCCGGCGGGCCGGCGGGCCGGCGGGCCGGCGGGCCGGCGGGCCGGCGGGCCGGCGGGCCGGCGGGCCGGCGGGCCGGCGGGCCGGCGGGCCGGCGGGCCGGCGGGCCGGCGGGCCGGCGGGCCGGCGGGCCGGCGGGCCGGCGGCGGGCCGGCGGGCCGGCGGGCCGGCGGGCCGGCGGGCCGGCGGGCCGGCGGGCCGGGGCCGGCGGGCGGCGCCGGCGGGCCGGCGGGCCGGCGGGCCGGCGGGCCGGCGGGCCGGCGGGCCGGCGGGCCGGCGGGCCGGCGGGCCGGCGGGCCGGCGGGCCGGCGGGCCGGCGGGCCGGCGGGCCGGCGGGCCGGCGGGCCGGCGGGCCGGCGGGCCGGCGGGCCGGCGGGCCGGCGGGCCGGCGGCGGGCCGGCGGGCCGGCGGGCCGGCGGCGGGCCGGCGGGCCGGCGGGCCGGCGGCGGGCCGGCGGGCCGGCGGGCCGGCGGGCCGGCGGCGGGCCGGCGGGCCGGCGGGCCGGCGGCGGGCCGGCGGGCCGTTTTGTATTAACGTAGTTCGCCAAAACAGCTCTTGTTAATTGCGTGTGTTTTATATTAGGATTAAAGATAGGAACCGCTGCATTTCTTTGATTCTCATTTTAATTTTGATGACGTCATCATGTTTCACCGGTCACCATACAAATAGTTATCATATTTTCCCCTCTCTACTTTGCATCTATTCAAAAAACATTACTCCATTCACATCTGAAAGAAAAACTTGTAGGAGAAAAAATGAGCTAATTATTAAAACAGTTATTCATCGAAACCTTTTGAAACCAAAAGTGGGATGCTGACGTCTGTGCCCATTGACTGCCCGTGGAGAATGATATCGTCTCAATAATTGTGTGGTTCATGAATCACTGTAAAAAAGTTTAGCAAAATGGGTTCATAATTCGACCAATGATGGTCGAATTATCAACTGCCAACACTCGGGGGCAAATTCTTCCCAATAGTTTGACAGTTTTTACCTTATTCAACCCAATATGAGATAATTTCATACCAATTCTGTGTATATTACATTGCCCAAAAGTGTTTTATCCAACCTTTTTACAGTGTATATAAGAAACAACGCGTGAATGATGCAAATTACGTGATTTGTTTTTAGAGTTACTATAGTCAATAACATACATGTATGTACTTTATTACCATGATATTTTTGTATTCAATGGAGCAAGCCACCTATCTTTTTAGTGCTTTTTCTATTGACACCCTGGAGCTATACAGCCTGTGCACAAACACATTGACGGATAACCAGTGATTTACTAAACAATGATAACAATTTGAGCTTTTAACTCATTCCAAATTTTACTTCAAGAAAAATACATCATTCTTTTTTATCCACGCTCACTCTAATACCTTTTTTGGTTTGTGAACTTAAATTTAGACCTATCAACAAAAAAGAAAATTTCAAAGCCGAAAAAAAAATATTTGCTTTTTTTTTCGGAAAAATGATTATAATTTCCGTTTAATATACAGATCAGTTTCGTGTGTCTAGTAGAGATGACAGAAATCTTTAACCGACGGCCGGATCGCGAGTGAGCACACGAACAGGTACAATGACGGGGATAATCTGTGATTCTCTAAATTAAGCTAAAAATTCTTCGACTCGGTTCCTTCTATAATGCTTCCGAGTCGAAAAAGGGTGTAAATGAGAGAGAAGTCTGATATTAATTGTTCGAGCATTGACGGCAAGTGATCTTTCAGTTGAAATCTTTCTACAGTTCAAAATAGTAACAGTTGTTGGTTGCCTTATAGTCGTTGACATCAGCCACAAGACGAGTGACGTCATTGAGTTGACACATCTTTTCTCTTTCAGTGTTGCTCTGCCAGAGATTAAAGGAGCGGCATCGGGGATCGGCTCGGCACGCCCAGCCACAGGCAAGCACGCCATCTTCCGTCCGATTCTTGATGTCGTGATGGATGAGGCATAACTGGGGGACACGCCCATCAGGACCGGTGATGGCGTGGTAGGCTGGCATCGCAGAGACCGTCATCTCACAGGCTGCAGGTTTGCGGTTGCTGCTACCGCAAGGAACACTGGCGGACCATAAGCCCCCACCACCGTACACAGTCATCCGGGCGCAGTTACGCTGGTTGTCGTTGTGCGGATTTCGCCCTTTCCAACTGCTGAAAGTCATAGGTTGACCCCCGCACAGCCAGATACCCTCTTGGGCCGCATCCGTACAGCCGATCCACATACCGTCAGTCTGTGGCCTCACTGACTTCCAGATGAAGTCGTTTTCTTCCCGCGAGTTGGGCACGGCCAGACTGCTTCCCGGCCGGCTACAAGCCTCCGAGGCCTCAAACCAATTCATCTTGTCCGGTAGTAAGATGTAGCAAGATTGCTGCCATTTCAGCCAGCCAGGCGGACATGAGGCGTAGAGGGCCTGGCAGCTTGGTAAATTGATGAAGATCGAGACAAGCATCAGAGCAAACCTTGCTGTCCACCAAGCCATCGTACCGTTGAATGCTGCCAACTATACCTGTGCATTATCTTTTATACTCACTGCAATTTTAAATCGTGTACGTAGTTTAGGGATGCATATAAATTGCAACAAATTATTCATCTCAATTACTGCTAATTATCACCATGGCGCCTGCATCGTTGGTAGAAGGGAAACCATGGTGACGAAATGTAATACTTGGGGGAAAAAAATCCCAATGAGGCAACCGTTTAAAGTATCATTGCATTGTATACCTACATGTACATAGTATAACAATGAAGTATATCAGTACAAACACAATTATTGTTCCAGTGAGAGACACTGAACAAAAATGAATTATATTCATATATTCTGAAACTATTGAAAAAATATATTCTGAAAATTCGAAGAAAACGGCAAATGCATCTTCCTAAATTTTAGAACTGATAGAGATTTTGTTTCCTCTTTTGGCAATGACGTTCTATAATAACAGACAGAAAACAAAACCTGGTTGTATTAGGCCTTACGAGAGAACATTTTACTACAATTATAATATTTTTCCACATTAAGAAAGCAACGACGGAAAATCTTTAAAATGTGCTTCACAACTGGTAGGTTTCTTTCTCGTCAGGTCTTTTCATTTGGTAAATTGTTGAGATCAAAGGAAATATCTCACGACAGTTTGTTTGTTAACCATGCTTTGCATGATGACGAAAACACGAAATTATCATGACGGTGACAACAGCGCTTGACTGGTAAGTGAAGAAAACGCTTCAATTATCTTGCTTGAACTGGTCGACAATTAGTCAATTACCACGACAATAATAGCTTTGTTGAGTGTACTGCCTCCAAGGTCGGAGAGTTTATTGATGTGGAACTTATGAAATAATGGAAGTCAGGGGCGTATAGTTTCCATGGTGAAACGTCAATAAGTAAACGATTTTACGTTTGGCCTAGGGTGTATCCTTTTTTATGAGTTTATGACGTGGTTGAGAAAACAACCGACAAGACTCAACGCTCCTACATGTACGCTTTAAATTGTTTGTCTTCAGGAGAATGCTGGGCTTTTACAAAGGAAAGGGTTTTAATACTATATCCAGGTTGTTCACCAGTCTTGTGCCATGTTCCCTGTAGGTAACATGCAGAGTGCTATACACGCCGAGGTTGCTTGATCTGTGAGGTCACTGTCAGTGGAATTTCGGGACCTGAGTAAAAAAAAAAAAATACACGTACGTGTAAGTATTGCTTCAGTCCTCGAAATCCTCTTCAGTCCAGAGAATCCCAACTTCTTAATCACAACATTGACTCTCAGGCGAAGAGGCTTTCTTCTGGTAAACTTTCGGCCGGTTAAGCCTCCGATGCCTCAAACCAATTCATCTTGTCCGTCAGTAAGATGTAACAAGATTTGCTGCCATCTCAGCCAGCCAGGCGGACAGGAGGCGTAGAGGGCATGACAAACTGGTAAACTTATGAAGATCAAGACAAGCATTGGAGAACAACTTGCTATGATAAACCATGCCGTGCTTGGTATATTGATGAAGATCAAGACACAACTAAAACCAAAATGTCTGAACACTATCCACTCCAAATGTTATCTACATTGTAGAATATGACAACCTTTTAACAAAGAATACATTTTGCAGTTGCCATTTCATTCTGCAGTTCTTGAACTGGCGTCAACAAAGACGTACTCGGCAACAAACACGTTGTTGCTATGATGTCTTATTTCGGATCTCCAAAAGGAGACAGGCGCGGCGTTATGAAGTGTACTCATTTTATCTGTGCTATTATTTTCAAGTAACAATAAATTTGTTGAAACTCTTGACAATGTATACAATGCAAGATAACTATGCAAGATACACGGTGAACATTTTAACTACAAGAACTCAATTTTGATAGCACACATCCAAACATTTTAGTAACTGCAACATAGTTGTGCAATAATTAGTGTTCAGTTAGAAACTTGTGCAGTCCTCACTAGCAAAATCGGAGACATTATGCATGGGTGCAGTGATGCGACTTAGTGTGCATATAGAGATACGGCTCAGCCCCGTGCGAGTGGTATAGCGCCCTCTGCAGCCATTCAGAGGAATTTAACTCAGCTTGTAACCTTTGGAATACAATTAGGTTGTTTTAAGCATTTAAAGTGAGTACATGTACTTGCGAAAAAAAAGTTCAAGTCGGTTTACGTGTAACATAAAAGAATACTATAAAAAAAAATATATGGCGTCAAATTCATTGAAATGCTCCTAGCCTATAGGCGCTTTACATAAGCATTAAGACTAAGAATCATAGCTACTTGTGGTAAATACAAATAGTTGAATTCAAAATCAATCCTCTAAAGTTAAACATTAAATCCATACGAGTCGTGTAAGTGTAAAATGCAAAGATGCAATAAAAACTATAGCATACCATGTACCACAAACATCAACACTGTACATCATCATGCATGTAAATATCAGCCTTTAGAATGGTTAAATATACTCAATATTACTTGGCATACATTAACAATGCTAACGTTACACATAATTCTATACAATATTGCTTGAACATTGTAATAAATTACATCGATCATATTGCAACATAACAACTAATTGTTTTCCTTAATCAGCCTTCTGAATTGCTATACAGGGTGAGTAAACAAAAAAACGAAACCCAAATGTCGGGACCATTGTTTTAGTAAAGTTCTAAATGTAGCACTTTCAAAATCTAGGATATGAAAGCCCAATTAATAAGCTTTCTTTTAGTACAAGAATCATTCAAATCACTTATGTTCTTTTCAAGTTACGGGCTTTTAAACACGACCACCGTTTTAAAGTTCTGTCCACGGATCACAAAAAGGTAAGTGTTCTTTCAGCAAAACGAAGACAAATTGTTTTCGTTTTGCTGAAAGGACGCACACCTTCTGTGTGATCCGTTGACAGAACTTTAAAACGGTGGTCGTGTTTAAAAGCCCGTAACTTAAAAAGTGCATAGGTGATTCGAATGATTCTTGTACTAAAAGAAAGCTTATGAATTGGGCTTTCATATCCTAGATTTTGAAAGTGATACATGCAGAATGTCACTAAAACAATAGTCCCGACATTTGGGTTTCGTGTTTTTTGACTCACCCAGTTTTTGTCAAGATTGATTGTTACAGATCTCACTGAGTTTCGCAATTCTTGACCAAAGACATCTAAAAAGTTTGAGTCACAGCTCTTTTTATCTGAAACCAAAAAAAAAAGACTTCTTGGTCCGGGAGTTTTGCCGATCGAATACAATCGGGCCTCTTTGGTCATTCAATCGTTACACAGAATGAACTTAGAATTTGAAGATGAAGTATGTCCTATGCGCCGATCGAACGGTCATTGACACGAAAAGAATTGAAAGCGGTGTTCGTGCATTGCCAATTTCTTGTTATTTTCATGTCAAAATGCTTGCTCTTTCTTGTGCTCGTCGTGGATTTGTGGTTCCGAGAAAACAACCCAAAGAACTCCACTTTTCGGTCGGTGCACTCTATAACGTCAGTAGTCAGATATAACATGGAATGCGGATACTATGGGCTCCGTGCTCTAACGAAGAGGGCGCGTTTTTTACCACTTTTGAGAGCCCCGTTAACGGGACACCCACTCAGACTCGGATCCAAAAAAAAATGTAAATAAAAAATTCATGAAAAAAAATGAGGATCCCCCCCCCCTGCTCTGACACCCACATTTTTTTTAACTGGTAATAATGTCCGCCTTTGCACAAAATACGGACAGAGCCAGCTTGGTAGGGGGTATATGTACACTATTCTGTGATATTCAATTCAATTCAATTCAATTCAATTCAATTCAATTCAAGAAGACATTTATTCCACACCCCTTTAGAGAATACATCCATAAATAAAAGAAGGACTGGTAAATAGCAAAATAACAAAATCAATAAATTTGTCTCAAAATAATAAAATGCGCTTTGAAGAAATGATAAACTTATATATGTACAAGAGAAAGTAAGGAGTATGGGGCTGTTTAAGTAAGCCGAGGCTTGTAGGAAACATCCCTTACAGACAACACTAGCAACAGAAAAACAACATGATAACGACACACGGACGAGACAGACAAGGCAAAAGACTTACACTCAGATATAGCGATATATCGTTAATAATCGTCGGATTTCAACAGCGCCCCCACTGAAAGTATGGTACGAGCGTGAGGAGGAGCACTATTATTTTTTAAGGCCAGTTTTCTGTGTGAGAGGGGCACAATTTTAATGTTGCGAGTAGGGCACTAATAAGAGTGTGCTTTAGAGGAGCAGTTTTCCACCTCGAGAAGTTATCGCGAGATGCACTATTGTTTTTTCGTTGGCCAATTTTCAATCTCGAGAGAGCCACAATATTTTGTTATTGCGAGAGGGGTATTTGTGCGAGGGATAGTTTTCCATGTCGAGAAGTTGCACAATTTTGTTAATGCGAGAGAGGCACCTGTGTTTTTGAGGGGCAGTTTGACTTACAAGAGAGGAGACTATTTTATTTGTAGCGCGATTATATGCTTTTATGTGTGCGTTTGAGGGGCAGTTTTGTTTTCATCTCGAGAGGGCACATTTATAAACGCGAGAGGGGAACTTTTGTTATCCTGAAAAAATCTTGACGGCAAGTTCCCCCCCCCGCCCCCCCCCCCCCCGGTTCCGCCGCCCCTGTTGCAACTTATTTAGGAACTCATAATTTCCCACGACAGATCTACCATGAAAACAACAATGTTTAAGTCTTTGTCTTTTACATAACGAAGAAAACATTTGTATTCGTTGTTCACACTTACTTTTTACAACCTCTTGTTGATACATGTACATCTAAACTTAACTCACTTTGGATGATGATGTTCAAAAATTAAAAAAAGAAACAGTCAATGTTCGAGTCCATTGAAGATGACATGAACAGACGACTTCAAATGGCATCCAGATTGTATGTTGTTCATCCCGTGACAAAACACAAATACGGCAAATTTGAGATTGAGATTTTAACCTTAAACTCAGCTACTTCTAAAACAAGGCATCGATGTTTGTGAGTTCCAATCAATCAGCAGTGTATTTATAATGTTAATGCGTAATAAGGTATCAGTGTATTTCCAACAGTAGTATTAGTCAGGTGGCTTAGATCTAATTTTCGTCAAGATCGTGACCGACTGGTCCAAAGCACCAAACTTGGCAGATATATTCTTATAGACCTAGAGAAGATATTTAGAAGGGGTGACACCTGAAATTATTTTGGGAAGGGTGCCTAATTTGCATAAATCGTTAATCCCTGACGTGTAATATATTTATTCCCATATTTGGGTATATTTCCATTTTTTTATTTTTTTGAAAAGTGTATTTTGGGGATTCTACTTACTTATTTTTACTTAAATAACATTTTCCAAAGCATATAAGTGACTGAATAATTATGAGGACATAGTAACGATCCAAAATGGCTACTATTATGACCTAAAATTGCGCGCATTTACCTTGTCTCCAGATATCATCGATTAGTCTTGCCAAACATTAGCATTGATGAACTTCAAATTCACCAAGTAGCTTACTGGTACAGCTACCCTATTAAAACCTTATGCAAAATCATGTGAACTATGATAACATTGTGATATTAAGCCTAGAAAACAAAAACTGGGGAAAAACGAGGTGTCCATAAATTAGGCTAACAAGTAGGTGAATGGTTGCCTAACATGGAACACTGGAACAAGTTCAAGAAAATTCCCCTAATTATTGTTGAGAAAACGTTTTGGCGTAGACAAAATTATTGTAAACAACAATAATCTCTTATTTAGGGGGATTTTGTTGAACTTGTTTAAGTTCCCACGTTACCCTTCCCGTACTAGCCCAATTTACGGACACCACATTGTCTCCCCTTTTTTGGTCTTTTGGGCTAAGCATCAAGATGTTATCAATTTTCACTTGATTTCCCACTTATTTTTGTTAGGGTAACTATGCCAGTAAGTAACTTTGTTAATTTGAAGCTCATCAAAACCCACGTTTGGCGAGACTAGTTGATGATATCTGAGGAAAAGGTAAATGCGCGTAACTTTAGGGTAAAATAGTAGCAATTGTGGTTCTTTACTATGTCCTCCTAATTATTCAGTCACTTATATGTTTTACAAAATGTAATTGAAGTAAGAATATGCAAGTAGAATCACCAAAATACATTTTTCAAAAAAATAAAAAATAAAAATATACCCAAATATGGGAATAAATATATTACACGGCAGGGATTAACGATTTATGCAAATTAGGCACCCTTCCCAAAAGAATTTCAGGTGTCACCCCTTCTAAATATCTTCTCTAGGGCTATAAGAATCTATCTGCCAAGTTTGGTGCTTTGGACCAGTCGGTCACGATTCCGACCATATGCCACCTGACTATATAGTGTTCGTCCGAGCATTGACGGCACGTGTTCTTTCGGTGAAATATTTTCACAAATTAAAAAAGTAACAGTTGTCGGTTGCCTTGAAGTCGTTGTCATCAGCCACAAGACGAGTGACGTCATTGAGTTGACACATCTTTTGTTTCTTCTTGCTCTGCCAGAGATTAAAGGAGCGGCATCGGGGATCGGCCCAGCACGCCCAGCCACAGGCAAGCAAGCCCTCTGCCGTCAGATTCTTGATGTCGTGATGGAGGAGGCATCGCTGGGGGACACGCCCATCGGGACCGGTGAAGGTGTGGTAGGCTGGTACCGAAGAGGGTGTCATCTCACAGGCAGCAAATCGCTGTCTATTGCAAAGTGTCTTATCGACCCAACGCCATCCTTCGTAGGTGGATATACGGGCGCAGTTACGTTTATTGCTTCTGCTTGGGTAGCTCGGATGCCAGTTGGTGTATTGTGCAGGCTGACCATCGCACAGCCAGACACCCTCTTGAGCCGCATCCGTACAACCAATCCAGAGTCCACCGGTGCCTGTTACCAATGACTCCCAGATGAAGAGGTTTTCCTCCTTTGAATTGGGCACAATCATGCTGCCTCCTGGTCGGTTACAAGCCTCCGAGGCCTCAAACCAATTCATCCTGTTAGGGAGTCGGATGTAGCAAGACTGTCGCCATTTCAGCCAGCCGGGCGGGCAGGAGGCTTGGAGAAAACTCCGGTTGCTGACTAAAAGTAGCAAGAAAAGTATCGAGATTAAGGTCGCCGAAAACCATGACATGTTTTTAAGATGGATACAGCAGCTCTGACGTTGCCTTCAATTTTTTCTTCATACGAAAACTGTAGAGATATTCACCTCGTTGTCATTATGCCGTTACCATGACGAATGGCTTGTGTTAAGACAGCGTGATAATTGAACCACGTTTTAATTGGCATTGTTCAGAGTGACGAATGGGTTGTGTTAAGACACCGTGATCTACGTTTTAATTGGCATTGTTCAGAGTGGGGCCTTGATAAGGTATTACAAAATGAAGCAGGACCGTATCAACAGAATAGCTTTATCACTGTGTTTTCTTACCATGGCAAATAAGTCCATAATGGGGGAAATATATGTGAATTTTACCCCCCCCCCCCCCTTCTTCTGATGGAGAATAATATTTTATCTGATGTGGTTCGCATATACAGTCAAAGTGTTCGAGTTGGGGGAAAGTATTTTTAAAAAAATATTTTTAAAAAAATTGTAGCTCTCTGCATTTAATAGAAATAAAAAGCATGGTAATAAAAGTTCATGTTATTGACTAGTAACTGTGAAAGTTCCACGTAATTTACATACTCTAATCACAAGTTATCCCAATCAGCTGCCCACCATTGATCATGTACCGATACGCATTGATGAATACCATTTTAATTACAATGCACCATGGGGTTTTCCTACCTCCATGAATGAACGAAAACTTGCATAGGGAAACAGACAAAAATTACCATCATCATTAAAAAAAAAAAAAATTGATTTGTTTCTCATACACAAAACACAAAATCTGACATAATGATTCAGTCTTGACTCGGATTATTAAAAGCTCATTTGTATCTGAATGCTTGTGTGATAATCTATGGTACTCCATTGAATAGCTTCAAAGCATTTAGAATTCCTTGAACAGCTGTAAAAATAGGTTCTTTTGGTAAAAAAATGCTTAACTATCGTTTTCAGTATAAGCTCATTCGTTTTTTTCACACTGATGATGCTCGTTTAATGCGCGCTTCTTTGGTGTGTCCAATTTAATTTGCTTTTGAAGGTGAAAAAACATGAATTCAGGTCACTTTCTTTTTGACTCACCCTATACAACCCCTGCCTCTTATGTATTTTACACCTTTCGGTTGTGATTGTGGAGAGACTCAAACAATGAATCACATAGTGAATGACTGTCCCATTACCAGACTAGACGGAGGAATCGAAGCCCTACACAACTGTGAGGAAGCTGCCCTGGGGTGGCTGGCGGAAAGAGCGTGCTGAACGCATACGACAACAACAACCTTTCGGTTTCCAGTAAAAAATTGCGCTTTTTGCTGAAAATGTCTCATACCCAAATCATGTTTTTTCTGAGTATTTTCAAACTCGCCGCTATGGAGCATTTCGTTTGCCATGAACTAAAAAGGTTAAAAAAAAAAAAAAGAAGGGTGAAAGCCGTGCACAGGACTGCGAGCTTGTATTCCTGCGAAATTTCGATGAAACTATGCCTTAAAGTGATCTGTTTTGCAAGGTATCATTTTTCAAAATGGCGATGAGCAGCAGGACTATTTTATTAGGGGTTATCATCTTTGGATGGAAATTTCTACCAAAAGTTATCGAATCCACCCCAAAAGTTGAACAGAAAATGAAGATGATGAAATAAGCTTTTATTTGATGCGTGTCTCGAACACCTTGGAGAGTTTTAAGCATTTTCCCTGAATTTCTGAAGTGAGGGAATTTTTTTATCGCTGGGGTCTATGGCTGTTTATTTACTGCTGGTCTGCATGCATGTCTGTGGTGCATGGTTGCTGCTAGGGGTGCATACCAAGAAATGGCTGTAAACTACTGCGCACAAGCTCATGAATATGTTGTGATCCCACGGGTAATTTTGAATAAGAGGTCCTGGCGACCCATGATTGGCATTGATTGTAAACATATTTACAACATGTATGTAAAATCAAGCATTTGTGACTGGTGGCTTCAAACTCAGGCGATTTTGTTCGAAAAAAAACCCAAACTTGTGGGTCTATTTCGCATAGAGGGGGTGGGAGGTGTCTAGACTTAGACCTTCAATAGGTTTCGATGAATAACTGTTTTAATAATTAGCTCATTTTTTTTCTCCTACAAGTTTTTCGTTCAGATGTGAATGGAGTAATGGTTTTTGAATAGATACAAAGTAGAGAGGGGAAAATATGATAACTATTGGTACGGTGACCTGTGAAACATGGTGACGGCATCAAAATTAAAATGAGAATCAAAGAAATGCAGCGGTTCCTATCTTTAATCTTAATGTGAAACACGCGCGATTAACAAGAGCTGTTTGGCGAACAACGTTAACATTACGGCAAATTATGTGCGAACTACTTTTCGTACGTTTAACTCCCAAAACAAACTGCGCGTAAGCTTGACCGTTAAACTTGAATATCGCCCTCAATCAACTACAAGTAATCACACAACAGATCGTCATTGCACACTGTACAATTATTATGTAACCATATACAATTCTTTTGAATCACAACAGCAAAGAACCCCTTCATCTATAATCCTAATCTTAATATGAACACATGTAATAAACAGGAGCTGTTTCGGCGAACTAAACGGCTAACTATTATTAAACGGTGAACTACTCTTTGTATGTTTAACCCACAAACCTGCGTAAGTTTGACCGTTAAACTTAAATAGTGCCCTCAATCGACTGAGAGTATCATCAAAAATAATACTCATTGAACAATGTACTCGGTAATATAATATTCTTTCCAATCACTACAGTACCAAGGAATTTGAACACACTAGGCGGTACACTTTTGACAGCGCACATTATTCATGCATTTGGGGTTTGATCCTTCGGAAACAACGCTTCGAGTCGCTCGCGCGAAACCGAAACCTCTCCGTGCAGTCTTACAACAAACCAGGGATTGGGGACGACGCGCCGTACGGTAAACCGTAGTGGCCCGCCGCCCGCCCGTGAACCGTAGTGGCCCGCCGCCCGCCGCCCGCCGCCCGCCGCCCGCCGCCCGCCGCCCGCCGCCCGCCGCCCGCCGCCCGCGCCGCCGCCCGCCGCCCGCCGCCCGCCGCCCGCCGCCCGCCGCCCGCCGCCCGCCGCCCGCCGCCCGCCGCCCGCCGCCCGCCGCCCGCCGCCCGCCGCCCGCCGCCCGCCGCCCGCCGCCCGCCGCCCGCCGCCCGCCGCCCGCCGCCCGCCGCCCGCCGCCCGCCGCCGGTGCGGCTTTTGAAATCTCTTTGGACACCCACTTTGAAGACTTTTTAGTAAAGATGACACCCCGTGCTCTTTACGTACCGTTTTCTTGTAGTTTTCGATTTGCATCCTTTGTTTTAAAGAGAAATGTACTTTTAGTCCAATTAATGGCGTCTGAAACCCTCTGAAAAAGGAGTTTCATTTTTCAATTTTTTTCTGGGCACATTTTTATCATGATTTTATAATGACTTTGTTTTAGTGGCGTCCATGAGTCACACACTAATGTATAATACACGGGCCAAATCACAATGTGTATACATTTGTACTTCAATTCTTTGCTATTAGCAGTGGCGGTTCTACGGGGGGGGGGGGGGCTAGGAGGGGCTTTAGCCCCCAAATTTTTTTGTCTAGCCCCCCCCCCCCCCCCACACACACACACACAATACACAAAAATTAAGAAAAATATAAAATTGCATTAGCAAAAAGAAGGAATGTGACGTACATGCGAACGGTCTCCCCCTAAAGAAATAGTCGTGGCAAGGGTGCATTTTGTAGTTAATATAGTGTGCCTGATTGTAGGATTTAATTGGGGCTCCCCATTGAAAATATGGCACGAGCCCCTTTTCGTACCTTTAACTTCCGAAACAAAGTGCGCGTAGGCTTGACCATTAAACTTGAATAGCGCCCTCAATCAACTAAAAATAACCACACAACTACTGATCGTCATTGCACACTGTACAAAGTATGCAATCAAATACAATTCTTTCGAATCACGACAGCAACGAACCCTCTTTGTCTATAATCATCCTAATATGAACACACGTAATAAACAGGAGCTCTTTCGGCAAACTACGCCGCCGAGGCGAATTATGGGCGAACTACTTTTCGTACGTATAACCCACAAACCAAACCTGCGCAGGCTTGACCGTTAAACTTAAATTTAGAGTATCATCACAAATAATATTCATTGAACAATGCACTTGGGGTAATAGAATTTATTCCAATCACTAGGGGCCTACAATACCAAGGAATTCGAACACGCCTCACATTGGGCGATACACTTTTGACAGCGCACATTGTTCATGCATTTGAGGTTTGATCCTTCGGAAACAACGTCGCTCGCGTGAAACCGAAACCTCTCCGTGCAGACTTAAGTTACACCAAACCAGGGATTGGGGACGACTCGCCGTAACGGGCCCGCCACCCGCCGCCCGCCGCCAGCCACCAGACGCCCGCCAGTGCGGCTTTCGAAATTTCTTTGGACAGACACTTTGAAGACCTATTCGTAAAGATGTCACCCCGTGCTGTTTACATACTTTTTTTCTAGGCTTACTAGTTTTTGATTTGCATCTTATGTTTTAAAGAGAAAACGTACTTTTATTCCAATTTAGGACGTCTGTAACCCTCTGAAAAGGCGTTTCATTTTGCACATGTTTTTAAATCTGGGCACATTTTTATCATGATTTTACCATGAGTTTATAGTTTAGTGGCATCCATGACACACATTAAATGTATAACATGCGGGCCAAATCACAATTTGTATGCTTAAATTCTTTGCTATTAGAGCGTTTTTACTGTACGTTATAAATTCTCGACTATAGGGAAAAAAATAAGGGGATAAAGAAAAACAAAAAGTTATGTGGTGTTGACCAAGCATTCAGGGGTCGCGATTGGTTACCAACTCCCATATAGTACTCTTCCTGGGTCTCGGATTCCCGGCCCACCACACCTCCTTCCCTATCCATCCATGTAACCCCGGAGGGCCAAGCACCGTTAAGGGAGGAAACGAGGCGACACCCTATGCCTTGCTGCCGAGACAGCAAAAGAGCCCCGTACCTATGAGTAGATGCATAACCTGGACTTCGCAGACAGTCCCAGCCGGCGACTTAACTGATTGAGCTAAGGTCGGTTGGTGTTTGACGACGAGAAATTGAGACTCTTAAAGTAAATGACAGAGCGCGTGTATTGAAAACCAAAAATTACACCAACAGGACTCGAACCCCGGACCCCGGGGTCTGTGGACAATGAGCCTAACCACTAGGCCATTTACTTGACTGTCACTTGGTGTCGGAACATTATCGTTTTAAATACGGGGCCCATGCCTATAACACAAG